ATTTTATTAAAATTTCTAGGAATTATGTGCCGTCATATTGTTTATAACGAAAAACGGCCGAACTTCGTATGGCCGAAAACTAGGGGTTTATTTCATGTAACGTCATTTAGTTATTAATCCAAGTTCGTCCTTGATTTCACTTGTTTTCGTGTTTTATCTGTTGTTAGTGTTATTTATTATTATATTATAAAGTTTATGTCGTTTGGGTCACTTTTCATATAGCACAGGTGCGAATCTTAATATGCACTACTGGTCCAAATCTACCCTTGATGCAAGTAGTTCAGCACCAAGACCGTTCGTCGGTAAATGTTTAGGCAGGAATTCCAGGATGCCGAATGATTGGACTTTTTTAACTATCTGAATGAAATGAACTATCCATAATTTCTAAGACACACAACTATTGCATGTAATATTTCGTATGATGTGTATCATGATGAAATTACATTTGTTGCAATTTCATCAGCATGAATGTAGTTTAGCTACCTAAATTTCAAAATTTGAAGTTTGTGACACATCTAGAAGTATCTCGAAGAATTTTGATGATCTGTCAGTGAGTCGGAATTAATGTTATCTCGGAATTAAAGAAATTTGACAAGCGAAAATTCATAAACTATGAGGTATAATTACTAGATATTTTAGTAATCTAGCCAGCTATAGTATGTCCTTATGTGTAGTGAAAATTAATATTCTTACTTATGCACAACGAAGTTACAGGGTGGTCAAAAATGCCGCTAATACCTTCGAGAGAAGAATGGTACGGCTGTGCTATGTACTACCGCGTCCCCGATTAGGTAAAAAAAATAGTAGTAAAAATAAGTAAAAATTTAATTATTACATGCAATAGTTGTATGTTTTTAATAAAAAAACAAAAGATATTGGTCAATCAATAGAAACGGTTTTTTGGGACGTGGTCGCGTGAGGAATTTTTGGTTGTACGTTTTCTTAGGTGTAATGAAAATATTGAAAGCGCCGACATATAAAATGCCAAATAATTGAACTTGAATATATGGTATCGAAAGAATGAATTCGCCATTAAGGAAATCCTGTATTCATATTTCAATAGATTCCTGGTTGTTACATTCAGAATCTCCCCCTAGGAGATGCAAGACCTTGTCGTTGGTGGGGAAGCTCCTGGTCAGGTGCTGGAGGGAATCCACCCCTAGCACTTGGCTTGGTCTAAGAAGCATCTCACTCATCGTCTTGTCCCTGACTGTAGTGTCGTGGCCAGGGAATTGCACCAAGACATATAACGATACCGGGCGGGGCTACGGACAGCCTCAACCTTGAGGCATCGGGGCTCTGTAGAAGTGGACCGACTGTCCTTAGCGACTCATGGGAACACTATGAGATCTGGTAATAATAGTAATAAAAACATCACCGGTGAAGCTGTGAGGAAACCCCCTAGCGACACTGGGAACAGTAACAATGAAAGTTCCAAGGGGCCAAACCCAAAGAGAACTACAGAAGAGGTGGCTGACATTTGCGTGAGACCATCCTCCGCAAGTGGCATACAAGTTACCACCTCCTCCAAGGGTCGGGAGCCTACTTCCTACCTCTAAACCCAACAGGGGACACAAGCTACCGTTTCGTCTACCCGGCCTGGGTCGTAGCTCCTCGACTGTGAAGGACACGGGTCTACGTAGGAAGTCCTGGGACTGTATGATGAGTTATAACTCAAGAAAGGGGGACACAATAGATCTCTAAGGTCGCAGAGATTAACCCCCCTCCCACTTATTCTAAATTCTACATTCAGAATGTAGAGTGTAGAATAAAAGTTGATCACCGCAATCTTATGCCGGCATAATACCAAGCAGACAAAACAACAAGACAGAAACATTCATGTTTTACGACAAAATTGCGACAAATCCAATACATTTCTACGACACACATGGTTAATAAAACTCATTCGCAACAACTAAATTTTTTGACTTTGTTGTACTTTTGTCCTTGCGGTGTGAAGAATTTGTCTTAAGTTTGTCTTGTCAGAATTCCCCATTTTTTGTCGCAAGTTTGTCTTGTTTTTGTCTCAAAATCGTGTTTACTTTTTGTCGCTTTGGTCTGGTCACGGCATTACAGATCTATTGTGTCCCTTTCTTAAGTTATAACTCATCATACACTCTCAGGGCATTTTGACAAAAGCCAGTAACTGAGACAGAGTTTTATCGAGGTTAGTTCTCCATCTCCGATATCAGTAGTACCATAATTCATGGCGCAAATGGTTGTCTTGGCGCACTCAGTAATGAAATGTTTTGGAGTTTCCCCATTTCCCCACAGAATCTGTATTCACCGTTCTTTCTTAGCTTCAATCTACTGAGAGTGAGGAGACAGTGTCCTGTTAAAAACCCAGTGATAATTTGAAGATTGTTCTTACTTAAATCAACAAAAATCTTTGATTTTTCTTAGTTGTAAGTCCTGAGAAATTTCTCCGAGTGTCTTAGACCGTTGCAGGATTCCCATTCCAGGTTTGTTTTAGAATAAATATCAAATAGTTGAACTTAAAAAAACCAAGACGATGATTGTTGACCGCCTCCGCAACAAAACAACCAACCTGATGTCCGAACCGTGGCTGGATACGAGGTTGTGAGCCAGTTTAACTATTTAGTTTCCATGATAGCAAAGTCTAGAGGATACGAGGCTGAAATCAGGCGCAGAGTGGTAATGGCGAGGAATGCAACAACAAAGCTGACTAAGATATGGAAGACTTCAGCAATCACAGGAAAAACTGAACTGCGCATTGCGAACTTTCTCATATTCCCCATAGCTGTATAACTGTGCATGGCTCTGAAATATGGACACTAAAAGAAAGTGATAGAGTAAACGCCTTGGAGATGTGGGTATATCGACGGCTGCTGTCAATACCATGGACGGCTCATCGAACCAACATTTCCATTATTGAGGAACTAAATATTGAGACACGTCTGGTTACCAGATTAAATCAGTCAATCTTTATTAACGATATTTTGGCCATATTGCCAGAAGTGGCACCTCAATTGAGAGACTGATGGTGGAGCGGAATGTAGAGGGAAGACGATCACGTGGAAGGTCACCTAAGAGGTGGGCAGACCAAGTCAAAACCCTAGTGGACCACAACCTCCCCGAGGCCTCACATATGGCGCAGTGTCGAACAACTTGATCCGAGGAAGTGAGGGCAATTAACACACGATGTCACCATACTCTCACGTAGGGTGAAGGACTGAAAAGAGAGTTGAGCTTAAATATTCGGCACTCAGTTTAGGAATCTGATATTACACTTAGTCCGTATTCATAAATTAATAGACGATTTTAACATCTAACTATTCAATTCATTTTAGACACATATTAAGAAACTCTACAGTCGAACTCCATCATTCGAATGCTATACATTCTATATGCTTAAAACTTCCAACAATGTACACATTAATAGAGATAAATTACAAAGAGAATCCGAATTAGCCCTTGCAACAAATTTCCATTACTGGAGACGGGAGCCCGACCGCACCAAAGTTTACGGCACGGCGTATCTTTTCAAAGATGACCTGCACCAACAAGTCCCGATAACTCGGTTAAAAGCTCTCCGCCAGCAGAGTAATAGAATTAGACTTCGTGTCTATTCAAAACTTCGTAACGGCCTAATGTGTAATCGGCCAGTTTAGTCTCAGGGCTCCTGAGGGAGTTCGCCTTACCCTTTGCTATAAACAGAGCTGGAAGATCACAGAAAACTTAAGTATTTTATTTAAATCATTTTCATGATTTAAGTCATTTTACTTCAAATCATTTTTCGAAAGCTGACTTAAGATTTAAATGTTTATTTCAAAATACGAAAAGAATTAAGTCATTAAAAAAAGGCTTATTGGTCTATAGTTTCTGATACCTTCTTTGCTGCCCTTTTTATGAATTAGAACTATGATGGCACTTTACTAGTCTTGCGATATGTTTTCTTCCTAAACAGCTGGTGTATACAGGGTGTTTCAAAAAAACATGTGCCATCTCTCGTGGATTCCTCACGTAAAAATAAGATTTATTTTTCATATCAACATAGGTCCGATTCTGCTTTGTTTCGTAGCTACAAGGTGTTAAATTCTCAATATTCTTTCGATTTATTATAATTTTCTTTCAAGTATTTTTAGTGATTCGAATGAAATTTTGAAGGTAAAAGTTACTATAAGTGCTAAATATTTTAATGCTAAAAAAGTGTCGATAAATTCATCAGTGACGTGCATATATTATCACTGCAATATTTTTCGAAAAAAAAACATGTGCGCCACTGGCTTATTTTCTTTTGATATCAAAATTGTGTAGGCCGTTTAATGCCAATTAAAAGTTATCTCTTGATATTTTGTCGAATTCGACCTTTTTGATGAGATAAACGCAATTTTATTAATCACAATTATTAATAAAATTAAAATAAAAATAATAAATTATATATTTTACCTAATTTATTATTAAATATTATAACTATTAGTTATTATTACTATTAGTCCAATATACAGCAATTTCAAATAAAAAATAATGGTATTTAAGATAATTACAAAAAACATAATTTTAAAAAGTTTTAACATCCTGTAACTCTAAAACTATGCATTTCCATACCCATGTTTATAGGAACCTTTTCTCGTATTTTTTGATGAGAAATCAATGAGAGTAATTTAAAACTTTCGCAAGTTAATGATATTAAAATTTTTTAAAGGTTACTCCTATTAGACTTGAATCAAGGCAAATTAATAAAATTGCGTTTATCTCATCAAGGAGGCCGAATTCGACAAAATATCAAGAGACAACTTTTAATCGGCTTTAAACTGCTTACACTATTTCGCTAGCAAGAAAAAAAAAGTCAGTGGCGTACACGCTTTTTTAGGATACATTAAAATACGCAACCAACCGTCATTGAACCGTCCAATCAGATCAAAGGAGTAATCGTCGTATATCGTGCGTTATCGATAATGTTCGGTGCCTGGAGAAAATTGACAATTGAAAAGAGAATTGTTTATTATTTTTGACTTTTTAGTTCGTTTAATTTAATAATTACTAAAACCAGTAGTTCGAAAGATATATTTAAAAATAAAAGATAAAAATCCAAAAAATTAATTATCTATTAACGTGGATTTGGACGACAATAGGTAAGAACACTAAATTTATTTCTATATTTGATATAAACTTGTTTATTAGGTTTTTAGCATTTTTAGTTTGTGATGTTTCATGTGATGATCATTTTCATGTTCATCGTCTTTGAATTGACATGAGGATATCTATGGAAAAGTAACTAATCTGAAAGTAAGCCAACATATCGTTTGTCCTTTGTGTGCTAAAGAAAAGATTTTCTTTTCGCATCATGAGGAAGTATTACATCAATTAAAAAATGTTAGGAAGTTGATTACTTGTCATGGAAAAGTATACCAATGGAAATTATATGTTAAGAAGTATAATTCTAAGGGTAAATTTTATTATAATTAGTAACCTGTCTATTTTTTATACGTAGATGTTTCAGGTTTTAAGAATAAATTGGTTGAACCCAAAATCTGGAGGAAGTACCTATATCCATACACAGAATATGCCCATTAAAAATACTAGTCCAAATTTGCTTTAATAGTAGACAATTGTTCAATACAAATTAACTTTTTAAGTGACTGAAATATTAAATAGTTTAGAATATGGTATAACAATGTAAAAAATATTATTTTCAGGAACGATTAGGGCCCGATATATTTGAAACTCATGTTGGACATAGTATTGAGTTGGGTAGAATATTATTCTACATTAAGTGAGGGTATCAGATACCTATTATTGTACTGTATTTTAATATATACATTAGAATTGTTGTTTTTTTCATATTTGTTTTATTTATTATTTTACTTACAAGTTATATAAAGTTAACACTAAAATCTACTTTTTGACTTATATAAGTTAGTCTGTGGTTTAATGCGTGATTACATCCACATGATTTCAAGTTTTTAAAATATAAATATTATAACTGGCTTTAAAAACTCCATTAAACTGTTAAAAGTGTAATTTATTTCAAAATAAATATACATATATAGGTATATATTAATATCGAAAAACATTTTTATTTCCTTAACACCAACAAATTTCAAATGAAGACCACAGGAAAAACCAGCTTTCATTTTAACTGGAGCCGAGAAAATGGAATTACGAGTGAACTACTCTGGTTTTTCTCCTGTAGGGCAAAATAACTAAGCTGTAATATCTCTGGGACTAAGCATGTTATTATTGCTTTCTTTGATGGTACCTCGAATAATGCTAGTTTTCTTTCGTGACCGGGACAATTACTTTTTAAAAAACAACACAGAGACTTGATCAGTTTATTAATATGTTTGGTTGAACAGTACTAACAAAAAGATGAGAAAATATAAATGTAACTTATATTTATAGGCTTCTACTGCTGAGGTAGCAGTGACGTCAAAGGCGGGTGACGTACCCAGCTACATGGATATAATTCCTCCTCACAAGTGGAAAATTCTGGGGTTCGGTGCAGGATTTTCCTGGAGTGGAAATTTCTTCTTTTCTTCTAAAATTCTTCTTTTAAATTTGTTAAATATCTGACATTTATACAATATATAAATTAAAACAAATATAAATAAAACATACATTATAATAACCCAAATATTAATACTAGTTTCAAAAATAAATGGTTTAATCGATTCTAAATCATTTTCTATGATATTTCTAATAGGATGTATATTATTTAAATCAATAGAATCTAGATTTAATGGTTTTAATTTATTTATAGATTTTTCTGACATCTTTGTAAAATTTAATTTTGGTAATTGAATATTTTTATAATTAAATTTCGTATCACCTAAATTTTTAATCATTACATCATTGATTTTTATTTCGCAATCAGAATTTAATTCAATAATGTAACTTCCTAATAAAGGTATATTTTCATGATTAGTTTGACAATACTGAACTGCAATAGTTTGTTTAGGACATATAACTATCCATTTATTTTGTTCAATTTTTTGAACTTTATTTTCTAAAATTTCAACAGGTGTTAAATGACAATTAGAAATAAATTTATTATATTTTAAAAGTTCAATTTCACATGGATTATTTTTAGATATCTTAACTATATTAGAGTCTTTGCAAATAAATTCACTTGGAGTCACTTCTTCACATTTATTGTCCAGAAACGCGTAATTCTGTTCATTAAATATTAAGTATTTTGCATTAGGTATTATTACATTTAGGGGAATTATTATTTTTACAGGAAATGGGTAAAGATGATATAGATTATAACTATCATTTTCCACAATAGGTATTTCTAAAAATAAAATTATTTTATTTGCATCACTATAACTTTTAATATTTATAGTTTTTTCAAAAGTATTAAATTTATAAGTTCAGGTTTAAAAGGTAGTTTAGAGTTCTTTAAATACTGTGAAACAGAATTTATTTCTTTTGAACAATTCGTCACTCTGAACAATAGAATTGTGAAATACGTTTATCTTAGCAAAACTTATGGCAGTTTCGATTTTTTTCTAATATATCATAAATAATCTGATATTCATTGATTATTTGTGAAAGAGTAATTTGTAATAATAAATATTGATATGTATCAAGAAAATATGCTTCAGTATTATAAAGAATTGTTTCTAACATATCAATACGATGTTTAATTATTATTTGATTATTAGATAGATTTTTAATATTATTTTGGAAATTTTCAATTGATTTATCAAACATTGATATTTGATTTTTAATAATAGTTTTTATTTTTAATTGATTGTCAGAAAGATTTTCAATGGCTTTATTATATTTTTCAGCATCATACTGATCTAAGTTACCAGTTATTGATTTGATTATTGATCCCAGTCCATCAATTAAACCACGTTTATATCTATTATTATTAGCACCATATAAAGGATTAATTTGTTTAATTTGAATATTTATTTTAGTTTGCAATAAATTTGCTAAATTATAAGAGTTATAAAAATTATATTTGTATGTTTTTGAAACATTGGTATTATTTTCAAAAGCAATTTTTATTCTAAAATATTGATTTTGAATTTCATTAAATTGTTGAATTAAATTAGTTATATCAAATACTTGTATAAATTTCCAAGTGTCGATTTTATTTTGGGCGTTGCCTAATTTTAAGGGTAGTATTCCTGGGTTATCATTCATTCGGTGGTATTTTGGTTCTCCATAGGTGGTGGCGAATCTGAAACAACAGGTGGTTTCCTCAATTCTTGAATATGTAGTATTTCTTTTTTATTCGGATCTTTTTTCCGAGTTATTTCCACTCGATTCCTTTCTAACATTTTTGTTATAGTATATGGTCCCAAGAATTTATTTTTTGATTTATTCCTTTTTAAAGGGTTTAATTTATATACCGTCTGTCCTAATTTAAATTCATCATTTGTGTTTCCTTTTACATTGTGTTTAGAAACAACTTTCTCTTTTTGTTTATTTAGATCTTCCTTTACTTTTTCATAAACTTTTTCTAGTTTTTGTTTATGATTTTGGGTATAATCTGTAAAATATTCTTTTAGATTAAATATCTCATTTGGCTCTCTTGAGTTCGTATGACCAAAAGTTAGTTCAAATGGTGTATATTTTGTTGAGCTATGTATTGTATTATTATAGGCAATAATAGCATAATCCATCAATCCTTCAGTTTCAGTAGGGAAACTTTCTTTCAGTAATCTTAGGTGTTCTATAATTGTGGAGTGAAATCTTTCAACTACACTGTTTGATTCGTGATGTAAGGGGGTGGTAAAATGTACTTTAATTTTATGTAAATTTAAAAGTTCTTTGACAGTTTCGTTCTTAAATTCTGCCCCATTGTCTAAAATTATTTTTTCTGGTATTCCCGCAAAAGCAATATATTTAATTAAGGCATTTGCGATGTTTATTGCATTTTTTCCAGGTATTTCAATTGCTTGTGCATATTTTGAAAATGCGTCAACTAGAGTTAAATACATTTTTGAATTATAATAGAATACGTCAATATGAACATTTTGAAAAGGCTTAGAAGCTGTTTCAGTTAACATTAAAGGTGAATAAGGTTTTTTCCTACAATATTTTGCGCGTTGACAGATGTCGCAACAATTAATATAATTTGTAATTTCTTTTTTCATGCCTATCCAAAAATAATTTCTTTTTAAATATTCGAGAGTTTCACTTATGCCCCTATGATTTGTTTTCCCTTCATGATGATTTTTGATTAGTAAAATTTGTTCTTCTTTATCTATTACTGTATTTATTAACTTAGTACAACGTATTAATTTTGGTCCCTTCTCTGAAAAGCGTTCAAGATAAACTTTATTAAATTGTTTATAAAATTCATCTAAATGAAAATACATGTGATAAGTTTTACTTTCCACTGTATAATCCCTTAAAAATTCAAATATTAAATTATAGTTATTAGTTTTGGGAATTTTGACATTAATTATTTTATGATGTTGATAGTTTTCTTGATTCACAATTAATTTATTATGAAGATGTGGAAAAACTAATATTTGATTTGTTTTGTTGTTTATAATCTCTTCCAATATTGAAATTCCATCATTGGTAGTTTCCATGACGTTAGAATGTTGTGTAGTTAAATCCTCTTGTTCTTTTTCTTGTATATCTTCATGTTTTTGCTCTTGTTCTTCTTTTTGTTGTAACTCTTTTTTCTGAACTTCTTTCCTAGTTCTTGGTGATCTAATTTGTATATCTTGGAGAATTTTTATCTTTTCTTTTTCTTTAGTTTTATCTGTGTTCTTTTGGCTTGTTGAGGGTTGTTCTTCACGGTCAACATTTTCTGCTAGGTCTCTTAGATAATCAATAGGGTCGAATCCTTGTTCTTCTGTGTCTCCAGGGTGATTTATCATCGATTCATTTTCTAGAGCATTTATTTGAATTCTTGAAAGTGCGTCTGCATTGGTATTTATTTTTCCTTTTTTGTACATTATTCATAGTCAAATTCTTCTAATTTTAAGCGCCATCTTACTAGTTTACTATTTGGTTCTTTCAAGTTAAATAGCCATATCAATGGTCGGTGGTCAGTGTAAATTGTGAATTTTCGTCCAAATAAATATGGTCGGAAATATTTACATGCCCATACAATCGCAAGTAATTCTTTTTCGATTGTACTATACCGTGTTTCTGTCTCATTTAATGTCCTTGAAGCGAAAGCTATTGGTTTATCAGAACCTATTTGTCCTTGAGATAAGACTGCTCCTAAGGCCACATTTGAAGCGTCTGTTGTCAATATAAATGGTTTTTTGAAATCTGGATATTGTAAAATAGGTGCGTTAATTAATAAATTTTTACAAGTATTAAAAGCTGAAATAAATTCTTGATTATGAATAATCTTCGAATTTTTCTTTAGGCATTTTGTTAAGGGTTTCGTAATTTTAGCAAAGTTTTGAATAAATTTTCGATAATATCCCACTAATCCGAGAAAACTTTTTATTTCTTTAGGTGTAGTAGGTATTGGAAATTTTTTAATTGCTTCTATCTTGTCAGGGTTGGGTTTTACTCCTTGAGACGTTATGACATGTCCTAAATAATTTACTTCTTTACGTAAAAATTCGCTTTTATCTAACTGTACTTTGAAATTGGCTTTTCTTAATCGTTCAAACACTTTTCTTAGTCTTTCT